AGCGCTCGAGCCGAGCGCGGATCAGTGGGACTCTGCTCGTAAGGCCCTTCGCGGGTGGAAGATGGCGGATGACGATGACACGTGCAAGCTTCTGTTGGTGCTCCGCAGGCACAAGGAGCGCGTGTACGCTGCGGACGTCCGCAGGGCGCTTGCCAAAGTCACAGAAGTTCAGGAAGACTACCTCCTTCGCAAAGTGTGGCTCCAGAAGAAATGCTTGAACCCTGAGGCTGGAACGACCGTTCCGGTGAAGTGGCACATCGACCCGCACTCCCTCGAGAAATTCCCGCGAGGACTCAAGAGGGACGAGGTGTGGGCCTTCGATTCAGGAATCGCCCAGAACGATCTCGGACCAGGCGTCTTTGAATGGCGCACGAAGATTGGCGAGAAGGAGGAGTGGGAGCCCAGCTCCGCGGCGGCCTTGACGGACGGGTCCGCGCCAGACCCGCCTGCGGCTTCAGTGCCGCGCGCCTCGGGGGCCACCTCCCCAGGCCCCTCCAGCGACGCGGGCGCCGCCCCGGCTCCGAGTGCCCCGAGCCCTGCGCCTGCGGCCTCAATGCCGGGCCCCTCGGGCGCCACCCCGGCCCAGGGTGCCCCGAGCCCTGCGGCTCCGAGGGTGCTGCGGGACCGCGCGTCCGACCCCAAGGACAAGTGCTCGCTGGAGGAGATCGCCATGTCCGCCCAGAGGGAGGCAGCGAAAGGCCGGTTCACGTCAGACAACAAAGCATCGAATGAGAACTTGTTCTTTTGGTGCGGCGAGTTCCTGGAGTGCCTGCAGGAGGCCAAGAGGGCGGAGCCAGACCAGAAGAGCATCCCCGCCCACCTGAAGATGTTCATCGACTTCATCGTGGAGGACTGCCTCTTGGACAAGGATAGCTACCCGCACCTCCCTACTTTTGCGCCTTTCCTGAAAGAGTGCGAGGCGCTGTACCCAGATGCGCTGTCGGTGTATGGGCAGGGGATCGTCGTGCTCCAGGCGACGCCGCTCGGGGGCACTCAGGCGGTGCGTGTACCAGGGCTGCTCGGGAAGAAGTCGCACCGCTTCCAGACGTCGCCTCTCATGCGTGGGTTCCAGAAAGCCAACAACGAGAAGATCTATAGCGACCTGATGGCAGCTTGCGGGATGGCGAACGCGGAGAGAGTGGCCAAGATCTCTTCGCTGTTGACCTCTGCGGGCGCCGATTCGCAGTCCCAGAGTGCCTTGGATGAGAACAGGAGCAAGGCGCTCGTGGTGATGAAGACCTTGCTCGGAGAGCAGTCGGACACCACGAAGTTCACGTACTTACTTGACGACCTCTCGCGCTTCGACGCCCTGCAGGAATGGTCCCCGGGCCACGCGTTGTTGGACCTGAAGCCGTTCGCCTCGGTGCAGCCCCGCTGGAAGGACGTGCCGATCAGCAAGATGGTCGCGGGCATCAAGACGTTGTCGACGAACGAGGATGTCCTCGCGAAGATCCCCTCGCCGGTGATGCGGGGTGTTACCAGCGACTATCGGAAATTAACAGCCTTTGCTGCCGAGCAAGAGGACCCGCAGGCTTGGCAGGCGGTTGCGGAGGATCTCCTTGACGAGATGCTGGAGTTGAAGCTCGCCCTGAAGCCCGAATCCGACCAGCGCAGCCCGTCGGGCCGTGCTACCATCGAGGCAGCCCCGCCCGCTGCCCTGAAGGCCCTATACAAGATCGTCGGGACTACAGCGAAGAAGCTCCAGGAGAGGGAGGGCTCCTGCATGGGGGCGCTCTGGGCCTCGTACGCTAAGGTAATGGACGAGGCTTCCGCGCAGGCGCGCGCGGCTGGGGGCGGTGAAGACGGGAAGCCCGTCGGCGAGGGCGCCGCCGCCTCGGCCCCGCCAGGCGATGGCGGCAAGCCTGCCGGCGAGGTCGCCGCCGCCGCGGCCCCGCCGGGCGAGGGCGGCAAGCCTGCCGGCGAGGGCGCCGCCGCCGTGGCCCCGCCAGGCGCGGCGGAGGCTAAAGCTGCCGCCGCGCCGGCGGCGGGCTCGCGGGACCCGTTCGAGGTGGGTGAGATCGTGATGATCGACATGCGCAAGAAAGAATGGAATGGCGTGAAGTGCAAAGTGATTCGCTGGAATGCCAGCCAGGTGGAGTGTGAGGTTGCGGAGAATTCCGAGAAGCATAAGAAGGGCACGAAGCGCCAGTTCGCGCTCGTCAACGTGAAGAAATTGAGCACGCCTTCGGGGTCAGACCCCCAGAAGCGCCTGAAAGCGGGCGAGCCGCCCGCGGCGGAGAGCAAGGGCACCGCAGAGAAGGCGCACACGTCGGAGGCCGACAAGAACGCACAGATGCTAGCTAACATGGAGAAGATCTTCGGCAAGCCGAAGACGAAGGATGAGGACGCCTGATGTGAGAGCGCGCCTGGCTCCTCACTGCGTGGCCCCCGTGCACCGCGTAAGTCGTCATATTTTTGTAACGCCCGACGCCGTGGTCCACGGCCGTGCCAGACGACCGATTGCTTCCTCGCCCTCGGCCGTGCCAGCCGCGCGTCGCGCTGTGGGCCTCCGCGAAGAAAAGCGTTGCCTCGTCGATCAGTCTGCGGGCCCGCCCTGCGCCGACGCATCTGTCCGTCTACTTACCGTGCCATCCCTGGGCAAGGTCGTGTTACACCCCGCCGATCTCGTTCAATATTGTCACATGGTTTCGCGGTCACTGCGGATCGGAGCGGTTGGCGTTCGAGTGCGCCCGATGCCCTGAGGGCGTAGGTCGCGCTCTGAGTAGGTTCCGACTCGGACCCCCGCCGACTCAGGATGCCATGGGTTCGGATCAGGGCCAACGTTTCTCCATCCTCGTGTCGCATCATATCAGGACGTCAGGAAGGAGCCCGTCTCTTATGTGATCCTCCAGGTCCCACGTGTTCAGAGTAGTGCATCATCCAAGACGCCTGCGGCGAATCGAAGCCGCCCACCCCCCAGCCTCTCTGGAAACGCTTGCGTGGCTGAACTTCGAACTGCGCTCTGGCCGAGGCCGACAGTGAGATTGATGTTGAGATCGATAGTGAGATCGATTGTGAGATCGCTTGTGAGATCGATCGTGAGATGGGTAGTGCGATCGATGGTGAGATCGATGGGGGGATCGACAGCGATGCCGATCGTCAGATAGATTGTGAGATCGATGGGGGGGGATCGACAGCGATACCGATCGTCAGATCGAGTGTGAGATCGAAAGAGAGACGCGTCGCCCCGCTCCGGCGGGCGGACTTGCGCGTTGCCGCGCAAGTGCGCGGGCCCAGACGTTCCAGACAGCCCGGGCCCCGCCCCGACCAGCAGCAGCGCTATCCAGCGCTATCCGGCGCTATCCAGCGGGGGCACGGGGTAAAAAAGGCTCCCAGGAGGAGGCACGTAATTCAGCCAGGGCGACCTGGAGGAGGATGCGCTGAAGGCGTGGCTCGTGGCCGAGCAGGCGCGCAAGGACCTTGCTGGCGCGACCGACTCCATCCGGCGGGCCTACGAGCAGTCGAGCGGCCAGCAGTTCGCGGAGTGGGACCCGAGGGAGGCACAATATCGAGGATTAGGAGGAGGATGAGGAACAGGCGGTCGGTGAAGTGGAGGATGAGGAGGAGAAGGAGGTGGCGGCAGAGGAGGGAGGGAGGGAGGGTGGGAGGATGAGGGTCGGATGAGGAGGCGGAGGAGAATGATGAGGATCACGAGGATTGGGGGGAGGAGGAGGCGGTGGAGGAGGAGGCGAAGGAGGAGGAGGAGGAGGAGGAGGAGATGACCTGAGCGGAAAGGCCGCCCGCATCCCTCTCCTCCTCCTCCCTCTCCTCCTGCTCCCTCTCCTCTCCCTCTCCTACTCCCTCATCCCCCCCTCTCCTCCTCCATCTCCTACTCCCGCTTCAGGTCAACTGTCTTTCCTTCCGCGCCCTGCCTCCTCCTCCCCCGCCTCCACCTCCTCCACCGCCGCCTTCTCCTCTTCCACCGCCTTCTCCTCCTCCACCTCCTCCTCCTCCTCCTCCCCCTCCATCTCCTTGGCCCCCTCCTCCTCCTCCTCCATCACCGCCGCCGCGCCTCCATCTCCACCTCCATCTCCGCCTCCTCCCCCCGCTCCCCTCGCCCCGCCAGCGACAGGACTTCACCATGCCATCGTTCTCCAGGAACCTCGACGCGTGCCTTGCCGTCGGTGAGGGTGGCGCGCAGGGGCTCCTCGACGGCTTCCCCGTCGCGCGGGCGGTCCGTGACACCCTCGCCGCGCTGGCTGGCACCTTGGAGTCCACGCTGCAGCGCTGGACCACGGGCTTCGAGACGGCGATGTCCGACGTCGACGCCTGGCAGCCAGCCTGGAAGCCTGTGGCCGCCCAGCTGCTCAGCTCGCCGCCCCACCCCATGGCGAAACAGTTGGTGGCCAACAAGCAGTTGAAGAGCTTGGCCGAGATGTGCGGCGACGTCGACAGGCGCCTCGCGATGATCCGCAAGCACCCTGGCGTCTTCCCCGCGGAGTTCACCTCGAAGCTGGAGACGGTGAACCGCGCGGGGATGGTGACGATCTCCCTCGCCTACGTCATTTTCTCCATGAAATGGGCGTTCCCCTTGCTGAAGGGGCCGAAGAAACTCAAGGCTCCCGACGGCGACGTCGACGACGTTGAGGAGAGAGGAGCTTCGAGAAGGACAGGGGGTCACAGGAGTGGATGCGGCGGATGAGGATAAGGATTCGCAGGAGGGAGCTTGAGGTGGATGAGGATTAGGATGCGACGGCGGCGGGTGTGTTCGACATGCGGACACGACGTCGGCGACGTGGCCGCTACAGGCGGCGGCCGAGAAGCTCAGGGCGGAGCTCCAGCAGAAAGGAGTGTGGGCGGAGCTGCCGGCGTGCGTCGCCGCATCCCTGGACGCTGGAGGGCAGGTCCTCGAGGTGGCCCCTGACGAGGCGGCCCCGGCCGCCTTTGGCTGCGCTCCCGCGGCGTCGTCCTCCGCCAGCGGCTCCAAGGGGCCCGCGTAGGGGCTCCAGGGAGCGTCGCTGTGCGATGGCAGTCTCGCCCCAGGAGGAGGAGGAGGAGGTGGACGAGAGGGCGGGGGAGGAGGAGGAGGAGGAGGAGGAGCAGGAGGGAGGAGGAGGAGGAGGAGGAGGAGGAGGAGGAGGAGGAGGAGGAGGAGGCGGAGAAGAACGAGGGTGAGGAGAGGAGGCTGAGCACAAGTAGCAGGGCACCGCGGTGAGATGGAGGTGGAGGTGCACAGAGGTGGGTAACAAGGATGGTGACAGGGGTGTAGTCCGCCAGGAGTGCGGTGATCAGCAGTGGGGTGTTCTCTCCCTCTCGTTGTGCTGCTATGCCGTGTAGGGCAGCTGGCGTCGAGCCCCCCGCGTGAAGGTTCAAGGCTGTTCGCCTTCTTGCAGGACACGATGGCCCGAGATGGTCCTTGCGACGTGGTGTCAGAACGCAGGATCGGCGATCGACGCAGCTGAAGTGTATCTTACCGCGGCAGCCTGGCTGCGGTCTTTAGACCAGCGGCAGACGCAGGGTGCGCTGCCGTGGCGGGACGGAAAGGAGCGGCCGCTGAGGTGATGACCGAGGCTGCCGATGAGGAGGCGGAGGCGGGATGAGGGATGAGGGAGGAGGAGGGTGAGGAGGTGGAGGAGGAAGCGATCAGGAGTAGGAGGATGGAGGAGGGAGGGAGGAGGAGGATGCGGTGGAGGAGGAGGAGGTGGAGGAGGAGGGAGGAGGCGGAGGAGCCGCTTCGTCCCGCTAGCTCTCTCTTGTTCCCGTGCCACCGATTCTTGCATTTACGCCAGATCGGAGCTTCTCCATGGGAAGGGATGGGTGTATGGCCTCGCCGCGCTGATTGCCACTTGTTTACTGAGCGTTACGCGGTTATGAGTTTCGATATTTTTGGTAATGTTGATAATATCATGACAATATTTGGTTTACATATAATTAATACAAGGTGTACCGATATTCCAATTGTTGGTTCTAATATTAGGATCGCGTCGTATTATTTGTTGGCAGACTTGTCGTAGTGTATCCCGGAGCCGCTCAAGCCAGGGAGGAGGGGGGTCCAGCACCGATCCAAGAAATCCGCGCGGACCTCCGAAAGTTTCTGTTTATGACACCACGCCCCGGTAGTCTACCTCGGCTGCGGGGTGAACCGTGAGCCGCTTACCTAAGTGGCCTGGCGAAGGGCCCGGGCTTATTCCTTCGGAAGGTGCGCGTAGCGCAGAACGCGCCCTTCTCTTCATGTACTGCGCGCCGTGGGGCAGTGGGCATTGCAGATGGGGGCCTGCATAACGAGGCGCGCCGAACCCCCGTCTGGGCACGATCCGCTCGAGGTGGGTGCCGAGGTGGGCGAAGGGAGGCCTGCCAACTGTGTCGCTAGCCAGTGCCGTAGGTGGAGCGAGTGCCCTGTTGGGCACGCTCAGCTTGGGGGAGGCCGAAGTGAACGGGGTGGCGGCATGCGGACTCCGTGGCCAGGGCCGCAAGCGAAGCCTCCTGTGGGGCACGACGCGTGCGAGGGGCGGCCCGAAATGGGCGCGGTGGCGGCATGCGGGCTGTGCCGCTGGGGTCGTAGGTGGATCTCCTTGTGCGGCCTGCTGAGAGGCACGCAGCGTGTGTGCGGGGTTTGCAGTCCATGGCGTACCTTGTCCTGTGCAAGATCTTCGGCACCGCCTGTTTTCTGAGCCCTCCGGCCGCCTGAGGCCCCGCCCGCCCGCGCCCTGTCTCCCCAATTAGGGCTACCCGCGTCCCGTTTAGCTCTTGACCGGAAGGGGCCCGATCCCGACCCGCAGACCAAAAAGTGTGCGGGGTTTGCCAAAAGGGGCTGGGGTGCGGCATGCGGACCGTCGCGGGGGCCGAAGGCGGAGCTCCCTTTGGGGCACATGCACATTGCTCATGTCTAATTGTTCGAATTTTTTTTGACTTCTGGGGGGGCCAAGATCCTTTCATTTCTAATTGTTCTATCCTGGGCCTCTTCCTGGCTGCTGGGGGGCCAGGAACAATTAGAAACGAGCACAATTAGAAATGAACACGATTAGAAATGAACGACGTGTAACGTGCGAGGGGTGCCAACATTTTTCTGGATGGAGTGCAGCTCGTTCTCGAAGCGGGGCCGCTGCGGGGCACTGCTGCAGACTTCACGGCCTGGCCCTGCCGAATTTCGCACCTGGCTCGAAGGGTTGGAGGCAATTTCTTTCAGAGCAGAGCTTCTGGCTGAACTGCATGTCTATGGGGCACTCGTCTTTCAAGCGAGCACTTCGCGCGTCCGTTCTGCCATGAGTGCTTTTTTACCCACTGAGCCATAACGCGCGTTGTGCCCCCTCCCCCCCTTCCCCACCCCCTCCCGCCCCCATAACGTAACGCTCCCCCCCTAGTGCGTCCCTCGCAGTGCCGCAGTGCGTCCAGCACCACAGTCTGGGGGGGAAGGGGGGGCGCTACGTTGTACCTCCTCCCGTCCCCTCTCCCCCCCGCCTCTCCCCCCCATGACGCCCGTTGTGGCCGCGAGTGCAAAACTGCACTCCATTTTGGCTTAAGGCGACTAGCTCAGGCTCACGTTCTACGCCCACCGGCTCAGCTGTCACGTTCCATCCAGACATACTTCTTACCAAGGGCGCCCTCGAGGGCGCGAAGTTATTCGCGCTTCGCGCTTCGCGGTTCGGCTCCGACTCCTCCTCACCCTCCTCTTCTCCCCTGGGAGGCGGCGCGAGAGCGCGAAGTTATTCGCACTTCGCGCTTCGCGCAGCGCGAAGCGCGAAGTTGGGAGCCCTTGCTTACCATGGCACCCAGGGGCCTCTTCTTGCTTGCCGTGCTGGCGCTGCAGGCATGGGGCGCGCTCGCGCGTGCCCAGCTGAAGCCCGCCTCGAGGGCGGGTGACGTGCTCCAGCGAGGCTCGGCGCCGGCGGGCCCGCAGCGGAACATCTCGGAGGACCAATGAGGCACATACCTGATTTCTCGAGGGTCGCCGCGGACTTTTTGTTGGATCGGCGCTGGGCCCCCCTGGCTGCGCCTCTGTCGCCGATCCTGGCGCGCCAGGAAGGGCGGTTCAGCGCGTATGTAAGAAATCCGCGCGCACCTCCTAGAATGAAGTCGGGCACGTCCCTCTACAGGAGGAATAATCAAAAGCTGTAAAAGATAGTCTGGGGACGATTCTTACACTACACTACTTTTGACCATCGTTTAGAATTTGTTCGACTATCTTCTAATCTTTCCTCCAGGATCCGCCTGTAGGAGGACATGCCCGACCTAATCCTAGAAGTCATAGTTATGCCGCCATTCGTTCTTCTAACGTCCGGAGGAAGGCACCAGAACACCAGCCGACGGCGCCAGCCTCCTCGCTGCTGCAGCGCGTGCTGGGGCGCCAGGCTGCCGCCAGGGCGGAGAGGGCCGCCGGCGCGCGCGGGGGCGCCGCCCTGGAGGACGCGGGCTCGCTGATGCAGACCGTGGTGGAGACCAAGGGGCTGGACATCGAGGAGCAGAAACGACGCCTGCATAAGCACCATTCCTTCTCGGCGGCCCGCGCGGATTTGTCGGATCGGCGCCGGGCCACCCCGGCGGCGCCTCCGGCGCCGCCCCTGGCGCGGTTCGCGCAGCGCCGGGGAGGGGCGTCCGCTGCCGATCCATGAGATCCGCGCGGACCTCAGAGACGGTGTGTTTGTGCTGTTTTCTGCTCCTTCACTTCCGCAAGCGCCGCCCGCGCGACGAGTTCTGATGCGGCCCGCGCGGTCGCTCCCAGCAGCGTGGAAACGGCACAGCAGCCTCTCATGCCAGAAACAAAAGAGAGCGCCTGGCGCAGTCGAAGGGGCACTTGCAGCGGCTTTTGAGGGGTGGGGGGACTTGGGGCGGGGTGGTGTATTGCAGCACCGTTGATGCATCCTGGGCTTACTCTGGCCTCCCCCCTCCCTTCTCCCCGTCGTCCTCCGCCTCCGTCCCTCCCTTCCTCACTTCCTCCCTCCGTCCCCTTCCCAAGAAGGTCAGATTTGTTGTTGTTGTTGCTGTTGTTTGTTGAAGTTGAATTTTCAGTTCTAAAGGATAATTGCTTTTGAGTTGATCCCTCCCCTTCGGTAACCATTGTATTTTTCAACTGGGTGCTTCTCTTGGTGTTCGCACCCAGTTTTTTTCAAGGGAAAGTGAGGTGTCGCCAAACTTTGCCCCTAGCCCCCGGTTTCCAACTCTAACGGCTCCCGCTTGATGCGTCCTCACAATTTATTCCCATATCGCGCTCTCGCCCGGGGCTTCCTCGCCATTTAAACAGACATCGCGCTCTCGCGTGCGACTTCCTCGCAATTTATTCCGACGACGCGCCATCGACACTCAGGATTCACGCTCTCGCTGTCACGATTTCTTTGGGAATCGCTCTATCGCGGGAGACTTCCCCGCGATTCATGAAGGACGCACGCTTCAGCATCCCCCCTGCCCCTTGTCCCTTCCTTGCGTCCGTTCTCTCTTCCCCTGCCTTAGGGGCTGCACGGAATACACACTGCAGGTAAGAAAGGTATATCTCTAAGGGGGTACGATCGAAGACGAAGAGGGCGGGTGTCGAGGGTTTAGGATATATGTGTTGGATGGCAGACGAGCAGATCAGAGTTAACAGTCTTACAATGATTGTTGTTTTTGCTGTTTTTGCTGTTGTTGCTGTTGTTGCTGTTGCTGCTGCTATGGCTGTTGTTGTTGAACATTATTAATTCTAAAGAATAATTATTGTTGGGCCCCCTGGTGCGCGCCCCCCCCGCCGCGCCTAGGCCGCAGCCACGTTTTCATCATTTTCGTGAGGAAGCCTCAGGTAAAACGATGTCATCCAGATCCGGTTGTTTTGTTGTAATCCGTTTTCCCTTGCAAAAAAACACTATAAAATGACATTTCTTGTTCTAATATACTCAAATTTCAAGAATCCCTTGCAAAACATAAGGTAAAGTGGACATTCGCGCGCGCAAGACGAAATCCTTCCAAAAGCTTAGTGTTCGGAGCGATTTCAACATAAAAACATCAAAACACCAATGGTTTTTCAACAAAAAAAATGTCAAAATCTCATCCCGCGCGCTCTTGCGGATTCGTAGGAAACCCAACACTTTTTAAACATTTCTGTCAAACGGGCTTTTGCGAGCAACTTTTTCGAACTTCTGCGACAACGGTTGCGCACCTGCCAGGGCCATCATCCCTGTCAAATAATACCATCCGCGCATGTGCCCAGCATGGCACAATTGCACCATGCTGGGCACATGCGCGCCCCGAATAAGTGACCAAGTTCTGTGGGTGTGTACCCCACGCCAGTGTAGTAGCCACGGTCGTCCGCACGCCACGAAGTGAAGTGTCCCAACGTCATAGGGCGGGAAGCTGGGTTTGGGTGGTCGCGAAGAGTCGTTTGGATATTTGGTAGAGCTTGTAATGCCCCCCCACGAAGTGGGGGTATTGCCTGGTGTCGTATGAAAACCCTGGCACTGGGGAGAACACCACGCGTTCGGGTAAAATGATTGTTGTTGTTGTTGTTGTTGTTGTTGTTGAATTTTCATGTCTGAAGAATAATTATTGTTGATCCCCCCCACCGGTGCATACTGCTTTTTCTCAACCAAAGTGTGCCCCTCGACGCTCGCACCCTGTTTTTTGACAGGGAAAGTCTTGATGCTCAAACTGGGCCCCTGGCCCCCGGGTTACAACAACAACGGCTCCCGCTTGAGACTTCCTTACAATTTAGCCAGGACCCCCGCTCCCGCCCGAGACTTCCTCGCATTTTATTCAGGAATCGCGCTGTCGCTTGGGACTTCCGTACAATGTATTCAGGAATCGCTCTCCCGGCGCTCTGGAGTCGCGCTCTCGCTGGAGACTTGCTTGCAACTTACTGGAGAATGGCCCTGCGTTGGAATTTCTTGCAATTTGCCCAAGCGCCGCGCTCCAGACACCCAGGCACCCAGGAGTCGCGCCCGTTGTGGCCCCATGTGCATGCCCTTCGTGGCCCCGCTGTCGCCATTTGTGTCCCCCTCACTGTCCTACGTGGCCCAGTTGCTACCCTCAGTGGCCCCATCGTTGCCTTCTGTGGTCCCGCATTATCTGCCCTTCGTGGCCCCCGCTCGTTCGCGCTCTTCGTGGCCCCATACGCATTCCCTTCGTGTCCCCGCTGTCGCCCTTCGTGGCCTACTTCGTGCCCTTCGTTGCCCTGCTGTCGTTCTCTCTCGCTCTCGCTTTCGGTCGTTGTCGCCGTCGTCGTCGTCGCCGTCGTCTTTGACGTCGTCGTCGTCGTCGTCGTCGTCGTCGTCGTCGTGGTCGGTCCCCTGTCCGTCCCTCTTGGGGTTGGGTCGACGGTCGCGGGGGTCGACGGTCGCGGCCGCCCCGCCGATCAGCGCTGACCCGCTGGCCCCAGGCCGACGTTCCGCGGCCGCCCCGCGCTTGCCCGGCCTGGCCTGCGGAAAAAAAAAAAAAGTGGGAGGGGGGAGGGAGAAAAGAAAAGGGGGAAAGGGGGGGGGAAGGGGGAAGAAAGGTATACCCCCCAAAAGGGGCTCGATCGAAGACGAAGAGGGTGGGTATCGAGGGTTTGGGAAATACGCGTTATTGGACACTCGACCATACAAGGGTGAACAGTCTTAAACTTATTGTTGTTGTGGCTGTTGTTATTGTTGCTATTGCTGTTGTTGTTGTTGTTGTTGTTGTTGTTGTTGTTGTTGTTGTTGTTGTTGTTGTTGTTGTTGTTCGTCTTATTCTTCGTGCAGGGTATCTCCCGACCTACTCACCGGGGCCAGCTTTGCATCCCGAGTCGTTCTGCGACCGGGGCCCGTCGAGGGCCTCCTCCTCCTCACCTTCCCGCTCACGACGGACCATCCACAGGCCGTGGAGGTGCTCGGGACGTGGGGTCCCGACCACCCTCTCTGGGCCTGCTTGGTGGAGTCATCGTCCCAGCAGTGGGGAAGCTGGCAATTGTCACCGCCGCGTGTCTTCTTTGGGGATCGCCTCCGGCTCCTGTCCAAGGCGTACCTTTTCCTGTGCAAGTTCTTCGGCACCGCCTGCACCCCGCACCCTCTGGCCGCCTGAGGCCCCGCCCGCCCGCGCCCTGTCTCCCCAATTAGGGCTTCGCGCGCCCCGCCTAGTTCTTAACCGGAAGAGGCCCGCTCCCGACCCGCCGACCAAAAAAATGTTTTCTTTTTGGGGGAGAAACAAAAGCACAGGCCGTGGACGTGTCTGCGGGGTGGACAACAGCACCGCTGCCCAGGACACCGAGGCCGCCAGCGGCGCACCCGCGGCCGCCCCGCGCCGCACCCTCGGGCGGCGCCCTTCGTGCGCAGGGTGGCTCGCGCCGCGGAGCTGCGCCCGTCTGGCGCAGAAACTGCACGGGCCGACGGCGCCGACGACGGCCTCCGGGGGAGGGGCCTCGTGTCAGGAGGGGAACACAAACGCACAGGCACACACAAGTCGTCGACTCCCAGGAAAGTATGGGGGAATATGTGGGAAGTGGGGGGGAAGGCGAAACTCCCCGACATGTGGAAAGATATGGGGAATCCGGTTATTTGTACGTTATTGTTTTATGTCGGGCGTGTCCCCCTACAGGGGGATGTTCGACGAAATTTACAAAATACCCCAAACATACCCCCCAAAGGTAAAAACCTATTAAAGCATAGCAGACTATTTTTGGATTATTTTTTGATTATTTTGGGGGTATTTTTAAATTTTTTCGTCGAAAATCCCCCTGTAGGGGGACAGGCCCGACTTAAGCGTAGTTATTTGTATCCCTGGGCCCCTGCATCACTGGAGGACACCTGCGCCGGGCCCGAGCAGGTGCGGCGCCGATGCGCCGCACGCGGGCTCGCAGTGTTGCGGTCTCGTTCGCTGTATGTCTGATGCCCCGTGAGCGGTGCGTGCTAGGGGTGTGCTGGTCGCCTCTCGACGACCTCGCGCGCGTGGTCGGAGGTCCCCATCGAGGAGGAGGAGGAGGAGGAGGAGGAGGAGGAGGAGTAGTGGGAGGAGGATGGGGGGAGGAGGAGGAGCGGAGGGGAGGAGGAGGAGGAGGAGGATGAGGAGGAGGGGGCCTCTGTCGGGCCTCCTGGGTGCTCATGGGTTTTGTAGCCCTGTGCTCCTCCTCCTCCTCCTCCTCCTCCTCCTCCTGTTCCTCCTCCTCCTGAGTTGCAGCGTGAAGTCCTGAAAACAGGCGCGCCGAAGCTCCCAATCGAGACAGGGTTCTCTGGCTTCGGCCAAGCCGGACAGCAGTAACCGGGGGGAGACCTGCCCCTGCCAGTGCAGCGATGACCCTCCTGCCCCAGTCGCCAGCGCACCCTACGAAACCCCAGCCCCTGCAGGGGGCGGATGCCAGCAGGGACCCTGCGGCATGGGGAAGCTGGCCGCCCCGGCGTGCGCAGCTCTCCGCACGAGCGGGTGGGGCAGGCCAGGCTGTTGACATCCTTGTCTCTCCCTCTCCCGCCCTTCCTCCCTCCCTCCTCGGTCCGCGGCCCAAGGCGCCAGAGCCGCTTCGGGTCTGGTGCCCACTGAGGCCAGGCTTAAGTCGGGCGAAGGCCCCGAGCCCGCCGCGAGGGGCGCGGGCTCCTCCGGGACTCATCCGCCCCCGCCCGGGCAAGGGCGACAGGCCGCCCTGGTTCCCGCGACGGGGGCGCGCCCCCACTGGCCCTTCCTGCCCCGCCCCGCCGAGGAGGAGGAGGAGGAGGAGGAGGAGGAGGAGGAGGAGGAGGAGGAGAGAGGAGGAGGAAGGAGGGAGAGGAGGAGGAGCGAGAGAAGGAGGAGGAGGAGGAGGAGGAAGGAGGCGGATGAGGAGGATCCTGCCCTCCGCCGTGCCGCTCGTCCTCTTCCCTCCTCCTC